GGATATAAATCTTGACGTTCGACAGGCCGCCAAGTTTGCTAATTTCAACTCTTGAATTAAAATACCTTCGATGGAATTTAATACGATTGCTTGATCTTGTACATGGAATTGTGATTGCCGAGCAACTCGAGCGTACAAGGCTTTGGAAGCCTTCATTCTTCTTCAAGAAAGGGGAAATCCACGGTTTAAGGTTAAGTACGTTGAGGTTATGCGCACCTCTGATCAGATACATTTAAAACATAGAACAGTAAATCGTCTGTGCCTGTGTCGGATAATATTAATCGTTTGACCTAACATTCACTTACTAATTGAAGGTACGAAACAAAAAGAACCGAAGCCGATCTGTTTTATTCAATCGTTATGAAAGATATAGAATATGTATATTCAGGGAATTAATGAAAAACATCGAGTATCGTTGTAATTTTATTTCACAGGCCCATCTGTGTTTATTCCGCCTGTTGGTAATCTAGGAAATGATACTAAAATAATACGATATTTTTCGCAAAATTTTGAGTCTCAATTTTTGAGTCGCTAAAAATTCTTGTCGCAAACACTCTCTTTGTTCTATTTATTTACTTAAAACTTCAAAATTTTCAAAATTTCAGAAGCTCGCATGTTTTTCGAAATTTCATCAAACGTAAAAAAGTAGTTTATACGTCAGGTCTACTGTATTGCGATCAATCAATGATCGTACCATTATTACACTCTGAATCTGTACATAAAATGCTCGTCAAATGTACAAAGTCACTACGCTATATACATATTACACAATTTATGCAAATTCTCGTGAAAGATATATCACAAATTAAATATGCAAACAAATGAAAACACACTGTCGCACTATTTACCATTACCTTTAACTTTCGATATAATTTAAATATACAACATTCAGAAAAAGTTCAATATTCTCTTTGACATCGAAGTAGGTATAGATAGGTATAATTGAAATTTCCAACTCGTTGTTAGTTGCGTATAACGTGATTTGATACATTGCGTTACATTTCTTTTTTTACGTAAGATTTTATTGCTAGTGTATGATTGAAACAGTTGAAATAAATAATTAACTGTTACAAACGATAGCAATTGTAAAATATTATGGCTACAAATAAAAATGTTATAATACTTGTGCCAAATGGTCGTCGACAAAATATTGGAGTAACTCCAAACACTACAATACTACAAGTAAGCAGTAAAAATATAAAAAAATTATCTTTACAAGTGTCATTACATTAACCTTAAATAACATATTTTCTACAGGTATTGGAAGAGGTGTGTCAGAAATATGGATATAACATAGACGATTACAATCTCAAGTAAATATTGTCATAAAAATATCATCGTATCAAGGTACAAGGTGTAATAAAACGTTTTAGTTTAACGTTTCTTTTCTATTTTACAGACATTACAATCGTGTATTAGATTCCAGTGCTATATTAAGATTTATCGGATTGGCAAACAACGCACAATTAGAAATGGTACCTTGTACAAAAACACGTTCTATCTCCATCGTTACAATAGGTATACAGTTAGAAAATGGGGAAAGATCGACGACCGAAGTTACACCTAACACAACGTTAGCTGAAATTTTGCAGAATGTAAATTTCAACGAAGATCTTGAAAAAATTACTTTGATTTACATGCATCGTGAGGTATGAGAATACACTTCATCCTCGATATTATCATTTTAATAAATATATAGTTCTCTGGAATCTGTTTTTACGTTGTAACAATCTTCCTTCAATATCATCGAACGTTATTATCTCATTTATAAATGAACAAATCATATTTAGCTCTTTTGAAACTATAGCTATGGTACAAGAACTTATTAGAATCGACAAAAATGTCGATTTAAAAGAAAAAATCAAAATTTTCTTAAAATATTACTTGAATTAATTTCTTTGCCAAATATGTTTTATCGAGTGATCAAGTTTTATATAATTAACAACACACAATGATTATTCTAAAGAAAAATTGTTCGTTTTAAAATTATTTCAATATATATCAAAGTCATGGTTTTTTTTTACTTTGTGGTTTACTATGGTTGTACAATATTAAATCTGTAACAATGTTGCACCATATTCCAAAGTGTCAAGCTTTATCGACTATGCAATTATACGTAAATAATTACGAAATTGAAACGAAATTTAAGATTTATCAATATCTTAAATTTTACATATCGCTTGATGATTTTTCAGATTTCTGGATCAGAAGCTTTAAAAACTACCACTTTAAAGTCATTAGGACTCATTAACGGTAAAGCCGTATTACGGTTAATACAAAAACGATCCCAAACCGTAGATAATCTTAACAAAGTTACAGGTAAGTTACAAGGAAAGTTGGCTACAGTAACGATCAAGTTAATAGAAACTTTAATATATACGAAAGAAATTCTGAAACAGCAACAGATACTAATAAAACATTAGAGTTTGCAATTTCTAAAAAGAAAATACAAAAGTCGGGAGAATCAGAGATACGTTCTCAGGACAAAGAAAAAAGAACAATAACAGAAAGGGAAGAAGAAACTAATACACTACCATCAGCTAGTACAGATAACTATGATAAAAGCCAAATTTTAGCGCAGCCGTGCAAGAAACATGAAACAGATGACTTGAATAACATAGAATTCGTAAGTTTCATGCGCGCGCGTGTGTATGAAAATTTAAATACTTTTTTTGTATGAAATATCTCTTCTTGTTCACAGTTGGGTGAAAGAAACGCTTTAGTATTCAATCAAGCTGCAATTCAAGGAATATCTAGAGACGAATTACCAGATGATTTTTACGATCTAACAGTTGACGATGCAAAAATATTATTAAGAGATGCTAAACGTTACAGAAAAGAACTAGAAGAAGCGCCACTTTTAACGAACGCTCAACGACAATCGAACAAAGAGAAGCGAATATCAGATCAATTAAACAAATATCACTATACAATAATTCGTATACAGTTTCCAGATCAATTCGTTCTTCAAGGTTTATTTCAACCAATGGAAACTGTACAAACGATCAAAGATTTTATAAAATGTTATTTGAACGATGTAAATAGCGATGACTTCGCAATCTGTAAGTAAAAATCTTTTAAAAAAATAATTTAATTATTTTTATTATCTCAGTGGAACAATAGGAATATATTTTTACAATACAATACTTTGTACTCGGTATCTTTAAGAACAAAGACTATCATAGACCGTGCGATGGGCTGTAAAATTTCCCGCGAGGTGTAAATATATTTTATAAAAAAAATTTCAATCGCGAGTTGAAAACGAGTTTAATTCACAGCGATAATTAGTAAAATGCAGTAACATTTAAATTTATCTCATGACGTAACAATCTAACATAGCGATCTTAAAATTGATCTAACTCGAATTATTCAACATGTTATACGGAAAGTACGCATTTTTATTACAATTAAAAATACACATTTTTCTCATTGGATAGTTACTACGCCACCAAAACATATTTTAAACGTTAATGCTCGCTTAATCGATGAAAACTTGGTTCCTTGTGCCATCGTTCATTATTCCGGCTCGTCAGCTCTTAAATCGGACGTAAAACAAAAATTTACGGATCCTAAGAAAGTCGAACTGCAAGTAGCTAATGCTAGGTAAGCGATAGTTTATAGGTATTGACCCTTCGTCATTGCACAAGTACCGCTCGATATGCTATATTTTTACGTTTCAGAAAGTCGATGACAAAGAACCAGGAAATGACAAGTAAAGACGAGAATGTAAATAACGATACAAACGAATCGAACACACAAACAAGCAACGAATCATTAAACGAAAGAAAAAGTAAAATTCCAAAGTGGTTAAACCCATCGTTTAAATAACCAATTGATTCTCGTCATTGCTCACAAATTTTTGTAATATTTTGCAACGAAGTATAACGATATTTTAATATGCGGCTGCACACACGCGCACGCACCCACCCACCCACCCACACACACACACACACACACACGTATTTCATTTAATATTGTAATTAAACATACTTTTATACAACAAAGCTTCAAATATAAACGAAAAGAATGAAGTATAAAATATAAACGTCGTACAACAGCTTGTAAAAAAATATTTAAATTGCGAGTTCGTAACATTACGCGTGTACGTACAAAGATATTACTTTCTTTTTTCAACAGTAAACGTGCTATTGATATTAAATTTCATTTTTTTTTTTCTTTTTTCAAAGTAACAAATACATACTTTGCGCGAAACGATTAATAGGAATTTCAATCTATTAACAATCGTTGATACATTCGAGCATCGAGATATTAACATCTAGATAGAATTATTAACTTTGCAAATCAGGAGGTACAGCGATAGGTGATTGTAACTGCAAATGCAAAAGTCGTCTACCTATTATATTTCCAGTTGGGCCTGAACCACCTGCTTCTTCCGTGATACTTTTTATCAGATTGTCTTCCACGACATCGGAGCTTTTCAGATTCGTTTCAGAATCCTCCTCCTTTTCAATTTGCGATTGTAATTCTGAATTTAACAATCTCATATATTTATCCATTTCGTTTCTTTTATCTTCGTCGTCCCCACCCAAGGATCCTTCCGAACTTCCTTCAAACTCCCCCTCGTTTCCTGGAACAGCTAAATCTAATATACCTCGTAACGTACTGTCGAATATGTCTGCGTCGAATTCAACTTTTCCATTGTCTTCCGGGTCGTGCATCGCGTCAGCCTCCGTCGAAAGATCTCTGAAAATAAAGAAATACATGAATTACAGGTTTTGCGATGCCGTTGGTAAAATTGTAACGGATATAACGTACTCCAAAAATTGTACACCATCGATGTCGCTATTTTGATTTAAAAACATCTGCACTTTTTCTTTAAGACTCAACGACTCTTGCTTCTCGCGTTTCTTGCTTCTAACATTTCCCCACTTTTCATTCAGAAATATTTCCAACTGCACTGGATCTACGTTCAACCAACTGTCACTATCCGCAGGACTTAAAGCGGCTTCGTCTCGAGCTACGTGTAGCAAAGCATAACGTAAAAGAACAATTAAACGCCGACGAGTCGACAGATATACGATATTTATCTTAAAAAAATTACCATGCAGTTCAACGTCGTTAGACTGTACGTTTTCCCAGGCTTCTAAAATCTTTTCGGCATCGCTTTTGTCAACGTCGGTAACGGAATCACGCAGATTGAAGTATTCGAAGTAATAATCTTTCGCTGCATTCGAGAGTTTCGCGTACTCTTGGCTGTCCTTCAATAGATTTCTAAAATAACCGTTAATCTCCAAACGACTTAAATAAGTATTTAAAATATCCTCGTTTGCTTTTAATTTTAATTTCTCCGAATCGTCGAGCGATCTGTTTCCTTTTTTTCTGCGTTCTTCGTTTGCACGAGCAATCAACATTTCCAGGCCACAGGCTATCTTGATTCCAAGTGCATGAGCATTGTACTTCGAATAAGTTATCGGTGGTACGTTCCACCCTGTTCTCGGATCTCCCGTATATCGACAATGACTTGCCATTGCGTACAAACATTTGGTCATTTTTACGTTAACCATGATACGCTGTTCAGGAGGGAAATACTTCATGGCACGACAAACCTACGTAAAAATTCATCGAGATAAAGCAAACTTTAATCGTACGTACATAAAATTGTGCAAGAGTATGAAACGAGTTTTACTTTTCTCTCGAGTGGATCGGAGTGACAAATCGTTCGAACAACTAGCGCGATAAGTCTTGGTTCTTGTCGAAGTATCGAAACTGCTTTCTCCGGTAAAAAAACTCGCGCTTTGTGGCGTCTTCTCTCGATCTCGTTAGGGTACGCGTTAATTCGTTTTTTCAACGTATCTTGTACTTTCTCAGAAGCTTTGAAAAGATACGGTCTCTCCTGGAGATTGTTCAACAAATCCAACAACGTTTTGTACTTTTCACGAACAATGTACAATTCACCGTTGTATACAAATACATGATTTTCACATGTTTCAGGGTTAGCCCACTGAGGCAAAGCATTCGCAGCCTCGATCAAAAGAAACTCGCCGTCAGAATCTATAACTTTAGCAATTAAACCATCAAAAATCTGAGTAAGTTTAAATATCAGAAAGACCACGAACCATTCGTCGGTTATGTCCTCGTCAAAACGCAGACGTACGTAAATGTGAGGCAACGTGTTACATTCTACGGGGAATAAAAAAGTAACGGTCAATATACGTTTGTCACATCACCATCACATTAGTAATAGATTTTTAAGGTTAGAACATCTTACCTTCTACGATCGTAGAACTTTCCACAAGTTTTTCCAACAACAACGCTTGCCTCGTTCTAGGATAAAAAATTAAATTATCATTATGCCAGATATAACCTTCAACGTACGGTGCAATTTCTTCGTTAAATTTTTCAATTTCTCGTGAAAGAATTTCTTCCGTCACAGTCTCCGAAGATCTCGCGTAACAAATTTTTGGATAAAGAAAACACTCGAGCACGTCGTCTTCTTTAACTCGTCTGGGTATTTTTGTACAAGCCATCGTTTCATAAATGTCCGTATCTCGACAAAATCACTTTCAACGGATGTCGTTTTATCGCTAGAAATTGAATTTTAGATTTTTTGTGAAAAAGTGAGAATAATTGAGAAAAAACTTTTCGTACCGGCGTTTCCGATTGAAATTTATTCAATTTTCATTGTTTTATAAACGAACTCTCGATACGCAACTACTCCTGTACATTTAGTTTATTCAAATTTTTTCATTTATTTAAATATTGGTGTTTCTCGATCGTTTAAAGGCGAGTACTCGCGTAGACGACACAGGCAAAATATAGCTACAGCCTTTAGAATATACCAGCCTTTAGAAATTACTAGGAGTCGCGTGTATCGTTTCAGTCAACCAACGTGTCAAATATCTCACACGCAGGAATAAAATAGTCACATCTACCATATCTACGGTATGAAAAACAGAATTTTTTTTATTCCATTGAATCCGTGAGAAGATACATGTCGCGTTTAAAAAAATTACATTATTATACGTTTGAAGAATTAGCGCTTCCCATTATGTATATTGAAATTATAAGAAGAAAGATTTTTATTTTATTACTTGAAAAAGATTCTTACTATAAATTAGTATAAATTGCGCGTGCGCGCGCGCGTGCAAGTTCAGAGAAAAATTCAACATAACAAGAATTTTAATTGCAATTGCACGGATCAGTCATATTTAAAATAACAGAATTGTAAAATAACAGAAAGATAAAAAGTTTGCTACAACAATGGTGTTACGTTGTTTTATTATCGTTGGTTGGAAAAATATCACTAAATATTTTCCAATTTGTGCATACAAAGAACACGTACGTCGTGTCTTCTTTGACTTTTATTTTTTTTATTAATGTTTTCAGTATTTATAATTTGTATCAGTTTAACGATTGCCTCGGTATCACATAAAATTAAACAATCAATTTATAGCAATCGGTTTAGCACATACGGAATAGCGTTCATGTCAATAACAGCAATTATCGACTTTTCACACAGAATTCATAATACGAATAAATTTTGAGATTTTTACACATAATTTTTGCTCATTCGTTTACCGATGTGAATGTGAAACCAAATTTTCAATTTCACTAAATTTTTGATATATCGTGTGTGAAATAATAATATTAATTTTAGATTCGTCGTTCTCCTTCTAGGTATTTTTAGCGTTTCTAGAGAGCCATCTTTCTCTCAAATACCCCACAAACTATCGCTAGAATTATGGCCTGTTTCTACGAAGTAACCTCGCGTTCTCTTTTCTCAATACACAAACATATTTTTTTGCAATTGCTTCAGACTCTGCATACAATTGCAATTGCTTATTTGATTCTTTCAAGTAATTGGCCGGATTTCTTCGTACCTGCAAGAACGTATCTATCCTTTATCCTTTCTCCAGATCATGTTTCCAGACTACTTAACCTAGTAGTAGTAGTAGTAGTAGTACAGCAATGGTTTCTAAATGGCTTTTACGGACCGATATCCTTTCGGACTCTTTCAAAAATAACAATCATTTTTAATTATTCGCAACGTCTCGTCGATTTCACAGATTTCTACGACTTTGAAATACAACGTTGCCAAGATCGTTATTCCGAATAACTTTTCAGAGTCGAGAGATCAGGAGCGACGTTGTTCCCATTTCAAATAATTATTACTTTTAGCGATTTGTACTTGTTCTTGCGATGAGAGACATCGAGTAAAACATATTCCTTGCAAGATACAACGAATAGAAAATTATTTCGAACAATCTTCTAATCGATATTCGCACCGTATCGAACGTATCTGGAAGTTACGTTTAAATTTTTTTAAATTTAATTCACATTCGACTCATTGATTGAAAACACTTTGTCAAAGTCCACTGCGAATAACAAGCGTGTTTTTCCTCGGAATTCATGATATTAATCCGAATTTTAATCCGATAATAACGAAAAATTTGAATTTGTTCCTCTCGAAAAGCCCCTCGCTACAACTACATTATATATTATCGTATTAAACTTTGAAAAGTGTACGATAAATCCAACGATCCGAATCGAGAGATTGGTCAAACTTTGGCTCTACGAGCTTTCGGTCAGTCGACGAATTTAATTAAAAAGCGTATCAACGATGTTACGATGTTATATATAATAATATTGTTATTAATCGTAACATCTATCATCACGGAAGATTTATTACACGTAATAAAATTGAAATTCTTACCGCTGATAAAAGTGTAGCACGGAAGATATTTAAATCTCGAGACAGGGTGGATGGATATATACTACATCGACGAATCCAAGATGCGGCCAACAAAAGCCGTTGCTTCGAAACAAAATTTAAATATTCTTGGGATCGTGTTGCTTGGGAACGTAGATAAAATGTTCCATATAAGACGTTGCTTCCACGAGGTGACGACGCGTTAGCTTTATAGTCGTATCGCGTATGTCTCTCTGAGAAAGGGAAAAAGATACGTGGTACGTATTACGTACACACACACACACACACACACGATGGGAGATGGAAAGAAAGAAGGACGAAAAGATTGTGGGAAGAATTCTATAGGTCAGACGTACATTCTAAACTCGACGTTTTCACTTTCACGTTGCCAGTCACAACATTGTTGGTGGTACGAGTAGTAACGTCATTCATTAGCGATATATCATCAAAGGCTCAAACATTTTTGCGAAACGTACGGTATTTCCAATTTCACTTTGCAATTATGAAAATGATACATTTGGAATGGATTTGGAAATTTATCGTTCGATATACAACGTTCATCCTGTATACTCAGTTTGAGATATTTGTAAGTAATTAAATTATACATTGTATCACACGGTACGAGTTTCGTTTCGTTTCGTTTCGTTTCGTCAAAGCGATCGTTCTTATCCTATATTACGTTAAGATTTCATTCGATTCAACTCGAAACAAATTTCAACGAAACTGCAATTTTTCGAATAAATTTCGAATAAAGACGCGCATATAGTCGGCAAATTAAAGTAGTCGTTAAATTAAATTAAATTAAAACAATTTGCGTATTCAGCATACGCTGAAAAAAGTTGAGATTTCTTTCAAGGAAATTCGCAAGAGTACGTCGCACGCGTACTCACGTTTCGATCAATGAAATTATTGAAACAAACGTAAACAAACTTGTGTTTTAAACGTCGTATCGATGAAATTTTATTATTTACTTTTACACGTGGTCGAATCGATTACAAATCACGCTTTACTTACGTTTAAATATTCGATTACACATTGGCAACAAGTTCGTTCTATCTTGACTCGAATAATTTTTGATTTAAAACAACTTTACTACGAACAACAAATTGACGAAATAACAACGAAATAACAACGTGGTAGGAATATACAGCGGACAAAAATACTAAAGAAAGAAGCAACGATACTAAAAAAAAATTACAAATACCATATAGGAATATGCAATTTCTCTTCATTCACTTGTATCGTCAACGATATTGTGATATCACGAAGTAGTCGAGATAAATTGAAACTGAAATAGTTTTAAATTTAGTTTATAGCAAAACACTACTAGCGTGTTGAAATTGGCGTTAACATTTGGTTTTGTACAACGTATATGCACATATATACGTACACGCATCTATTTACATCATTTTGTTACATCGGTGGCAATACGTAACACATACAAGAAGAAACAAGAAAGAAAAATAGTTTTTTTTTTTGTCACAGTTACCTTTATTCCTTAGTACTAGAATGCATTTTACCCTATTTTACCCAGATTACCCACCAGGATTGATCCGTATCGATCTGTAAAATTCTAGCTTATTACTTTATCAACAAAATTTAATCAAGCAACTAATTGATTTTTCCATGTTCAGAATACCGTAAGCTCCGCGAGGACAAGCTTCTCCTGTTTGAACAAAACTGCTGGTTTCTACGCAGATATTAATGCCAGTTGTAAAATATATCACACTTGCGACGAATATGGAAATAAATTTACTCACCAATGTCCCGAGGAAACTGCTTTTCGACAAGATGCTTTGATATGCGATCACGCTCATCTCGTGCAATGTCAGGGAAACGCTCTTACTAATACGAAAGAAATACGTATCAAAGAGAAAGAGGGCGATAATTCTGATGGAAAAAACTCAGAGACGATAGAGAAGAATCACGACTCTTCGTTTTCTCACGCGACACAACCAAGGAAAACGAACAACGGGCAAAGACACGGATCCGTGTTTGACGCAACACATCTCTTTACGAATCCGAATAAGACAAGAATCGTACCCATTGAAAAATATACGACAAGTTCATTCTCTTCGTTTGACTATGCCAACTCTGCTGCTACAAGTAATCCTGTTGATTGTTCTACAAATACTAGTAGAATGCAACCTGCGCACGATGAGAACAACGGATCGAGAAGAAACGAAGATCGTTCCATTCGAAGCGAAACAGATAAACTTGACGAAAAGTCAACGAGAACAAACAACGATTATCGAAAAGATTATCCATATCGAAGAATAAACGATGCTGCTTTGTACAAAACTAGTCGAGAGAATAACATAAACTATCAAGCTACGAAGAATCCTATGGATCTTGCGAAATTGCCATCTACGAATTACAGAAATTATCCGTATTTAGAAACGCTGAAATCTATACAAAAGAATGCAAAAGTTGCTTCTACCACAGCCCATACCCCTAGTGGTAGTATAGCCAGTACAAGCGTAACTATCACAGAATTACCCGTACACGCTTTAACATTGTCTTTAAAACCTTTAATACCAAGCGAACCAGAGTACGATCCTTACTATCCGACGAAATTTTCAACAACGACAGAATCTTATTACACCACTTTCACGCACAATGCGAAAGCATGGTCTCACGTTGGAAACTCTACCACCACTCTACAAATATCGCGGTCGACTATTCATCTTAAACTTCCATCAGTTTTACCAGATTTAAATTCTTTAGACGACATTGTCGATCGTAGAAAGCTACTTTATATTCCACGAGTTAAATTTAATCGACGATGAGACGATTGTCAACCGATTGGTAAATAACTAACAACTAGAACCGACTAGTGAATTTTACGTACAAGATCATAGACTTCAGAGGAAATCAGTTACACGTATATATAGGAATATAATATCGACAAACTCAAAAGACTCAATATTTACAATAACAATTTATATTATACGCGAAAAAATCAAGTTGACGTTTAATTATAAATATTTTGTCACACACAGTAATTTAACGATGCAATAAAACGAAAGCAAGATGAACATTCAATCAAATATTCAACTTTATATCGTATATATATATA